AAGAGGTTTAAATCATCAAAATCGACCGAGGGGGACCAGAGATATCCACCCAAAGAGTAAATCCACCAAAATGACCCCAGAAGTGGGTCAAATGTCACTTGTTTTGCATCAATCTTGATACAGGGTACTTATGTGTTATAGTTTGGATTCCTAAAGCTTTTAGTCTTCGATCCCATCATTCAAGGGTGGTTTTCACTATAAGTAATGTTTTTTTTTTTTGGACGGACACTATAATTTACATTTTTTTTACTGTGTTCAATCTGAATTTACTTCAAAAATAAAAACATCTGTATTGATTTTGACTTTTCTACATCCAACTCACAGGTTTATCGTTGCTTTGAAAAAAAAAGATAATTAATTTTCCCCTTTTTTTAGAAGTGAAGTTATGGTCATTTGTTCTGGGAATGTCATTTTGGAGCCCGAGACCTAAAAAAACAGGCTTGGGGCTTAACAGGTTAATGCAGCATTTAAAGTAATACAAATGTGTATAATTCGGCCTGAAAAGTTAACGCTGTTAAGTTTTCTACAAGAAAACCAATGAAGTATTCTTCAGCTTTCACTTATAAGGAGGAATCTCAAACTTTTTCAAATTCTTCCTTTACCATCTGAGTCATATAATCCTGTAACATTGACAAAGATGGACACAGGGGTATTGCATAAATACATCTCTAATCTCCGTACAAAATCAGCCGTGTGCATCACCTGCATCTCAGCAAGGAGACAAGCCCCCATATTGATTTGTCCACAGATCGAGAGATCAAGCGTTTGGGAATTCATTAATGTCCCTAATGTCAAAGAGGCAGACTGCATGTTAAAATAATCAATACATTGTTTTGTCTTCAAACCAATTTAAAAAGAGAAGGTCTACAGTCCAGATGTGTCTGTCAAAAACAATTCCTCTGCTGATATTTTCTTGTGTCTGATATATTCTGTCTACCATTTGTTTTCTCTTCAGATACAGGAAGCCCTCTCTGTCCTGTCCGGCCCCGTGCCTCCTCAGATGTCCTCAAGTGCCCCTGCGTACGCTCAGGATCAAAGGCCCGCCGTGGAGCACAAAGGAGCGTATCACAGCAGGGACGCTCCATCCTCCTCTTCCTCCTCCCACTCCACCTCTAGAGGATCGGCAAGGGACCGGGACAGAGAACGAGACAGAGATCGAGACAGAGATAGGGACAGAGAACGAGAGAGAGAAAGAGACAGGGAGAGAGATAGAGAAAGAGACAGGAACAAAGGGAAGGAAAAAGACAAGAAGAAGAAAAAACACAAGAAGAGGTCAAGATCGAGATCAAAGTCAAAGTCGAAGAGCAAATACTCCCTCCCCAGCGCCTACAGGAGGTCCCACAGGTCCCGGTAAGACATTTTGGCCCCACAACTGTCAATAGAAGGGCCGGAGAATCTCTTAAGTATCCCACAATTCAATTTGATCTCGATCCCAAGATGCTGTGGCCACATTTCTCACTGTACGACAATGTCGCGTTAACGTTTCAAGTTCAGCAAGATAAATGAGTCTTTTAGGACAACACACTGCAGCCGCGGCTAGTGGCCACAGACACAGCAATTTGGGAGGAGCACTTTAAATGTCTTCTTTTGTGTCGTTGTTATTTTATCCTACCGAAATCATTTCCTTTAACGGGACAGTAAATATCTGAAATATACTGAATCAAAGACCAACACACACTGTTGTTAATGCAGTGCAAACTAGAATGGAATTTTGAGAGCACGACCAAGGTCAAAGTTGTTCTTCTGACTTTGGCGCATTCATAAGGTTCAAGGTTCTTTATTTGTCATACGAACTTAGTAGTAGTTATGTCGATGAACATCTTAGGTCACAGGCTTCTCCAACAGTGCAACACAATAATACAGAAAAACATAGTGCAAGTAAATATTAAAAAGTAAATACAAGAAGAGAAATAGTTTAAAAAAAGTGAAGTAGTGAAATAAGAGTCTATATGCAAGCTATTGGAATGATATGTTAGATAAATAATTACTAAGTAGCAGATGGATGTTATGGATGTTATTACAACAGTTCAGGTGTAACGGTGTAATAAGCTTTAAATGATGCTAAATCAACTTTTAAGCAAAGAGGATATTTAAAAACACACTTTTAAATCTATGACCGTGGTTTCGTTCTAACTTGAGGTGAGGTTTGATGAAAATCTGGCCAGTTTTTTCCCCGTAATCAATTATAGAGATTAGTCAAGAAACAATCATCTTTTTTTAAGTTTCTCTGGTTAGATACATACTCAGTTGGGAAAGCAATCTGTTTTTGGTAGTGCTGCTGTTAAACGTACGAGACATTTAATATGACAGGCTGAGAACATAATGATTAATGCCCGTCTGTTTAATATTTCACTCCAGCTGAACCTTAAGTGCACAGAACACATACGAGGAAAAACATTAAAGAAAAAATATGTTAGCTATTACTCCATCTTACTGTTTTCTATTAACCTTTTTATTTCTCATGTCCTGCTTCTATTGAAATCAGAGAGAGAACAAAAGTGTGTATGTGAAATTAATTAGAGAAACAAACGCAGGGGTAAAGAGCACGACTAAAGAAAAATGGAGGAATAAGAATGTAGGAGAAAGGAACATTTGAAGAAAGATGAACTGGGCTGAGAGGAAGCCATCAAAGATAGAGATCCGGCTGCTTTGTTCGTGCCGTTTATCTGTCAAAGAGACCAATGTTTACCACACTGCTTTGTTAAGACACCCCAGCAAAGGCACACATTAACTTGGCTGTCCTTTTCCTCTCGGCTAAGTATCTTAGCAAAGGCGTATCATTTCCTTTTCTAACCCTGGCTTTGTAATGTCTCTAAATGACATACATGCTTTGCATACAAGCCAGTGAATAAAGCCTTGGTCTTTAACGCAGAGAAACCCTAGAAGAGAATTAATGTAACCATAAATATTTAATACTGTTTACTCTTCAGACTAGTTTAGAAAAACACAACTTGGATACTGAGAGTCCATGTGATATAACGCTTCAAAGATTCAGGCCCAGTTGCATTGTATTTAGACTTTTGTTCACGGCATTAATGCAAATCGTGACACATTAATATCCTACAGTCCAGATAGACTCACTGCAAACCGTTTGCTTTTCTTATTGTCCCTGTAAAAACAACCCTGATAGCTTGCTTTGTGTCTTCCTCTTGCACCTTATCACCGTCCTCTATACCTGTTGTTCATTTCAAATGCATCAGCTCATCTAACAATCTCAGCCTCGTGTAATTGAATGGCCTCTCCACATCTTTCGCTTTCTTTGTGCTCGTGTCTGGCCAGATCCCGCTCACACTCCCCGGGGAGGAGGGACAGGAGCGGGGGCGCCTCATCAGACAGGAGACGTGAGGACAGGGAGCGTGATCGCCATCATCCGAGCAGCAGCAGCTCCAGCATGCCTAGGGGGCATTCCAGATCCAGGTAAAGCCTATCAGCAGTGAGGGGGGGGGGGTGAATAAAGGGTCTACATGTACAGCTGTGTTTATTCTATCCCCGAAAACAACGATTACTAAACCTGTCAAGACAGAGGTGCGCCAACATTCCCACAATAAGGTGTATACCTACTATACATTGAGCAATGTTATAGATCGTGTCTTTGAGGGGAGATTTAGCCAACATACCTACAAGACAGACACTTAATTTCCAAATGACCTCTGATGGAAACGACAGTAGACACTTGCATGAATTTAAAGTAGGGCTTTGCTGAATGCAATCGCCTTCAGACAGTGTTCCCCGCCCCTTGATAAATTGTGTATTGTGTAGATTTACTGGCAGAATCTGAAACGCTCGGTTCCCGTTCCTCCCTCTTTTTTCCTTTCAGGTCGCCTCCTGAAAAAAAGAAGAGTTCCATGTCATCCTCGAGGCAGATGCAAACGGTGGGCTCCTCTCTCTCCCCGTACGCCTCCCCAAACAGAGTCGTCCTGTCCCCGTCAGCTAGCCCCGCCTCCAGCCTGGCCCACTCCAGGTAAACTCCCACACTGTCAATCAAGCAGCTAATCCTTTAGATTGCTTTCCAAGGGGTGCGTTTCACTTCGGTTAAATGGAATCCTTGCGTCCCTCACTTGCGTCGTTTCCCTGCGTTTAGCCCCTCCCACCAGGGAAGCATGGAGAGACGCAAGGAAACCACGAGAAGCAGGGAAATGAGTTTTAAGAGCAATGGGACTTCCTCTCCTCCGGAGCGTCACGTGAAGCGACGTCCGTTTGTGATGAAGCCGCACAGCTGGTTTTCTGGCAGCAGCTCTGTCCCCGTTATTTTCACAAACACCCCCGCCTCACATTTACTGACATAAACATTTGTATCATCTGTTGTAGACCCCAATAAATAAAATAAAATAAGAACTCATTCTCAAAAAAGATAAACGCCATTCTTAAAATGTATAAACGAAAAAAGCGAGCTGAAAATGTTTCCAATAAATGAATGAAATTATTTTTGACCACTTTGTTGTTCAGATATATCACATATTTGTAACTAAATGATACATGAATTTAAACAAAACACGGTATAAACTGAGGAGTGAGTGCCGTGAGTTTCATGTGTTTTCTTCACTCCGCTGGGAAACTGCTCTCATGTCAAGAAGCATCAGATCAGTGCATGCGCTGCATCGTCCAATCAGTGAGCGATACACAGTAAGGGGGCGGAGCGAGTGGCTGAGGATTTCACCGGTGGTTCCTCGGTTATCGCTCCTCCGTTATCGCTCCTCGATCCTCGGTCCTCCGGCTCAAAAAAGGCCACTGGGACGCTACTCAAGATGGCGCAGACAAATCAACTTACGGTGAGACCGAGGAGCGAGGAAATGAAAAATAAAAGAAGTGAAACGCACCCAAATGATTGTTTTGGGAGGAGAAGATTTATACAATTTAAACTCCTCTCAGTTTTATTCAGAGCAACATATTGTTGCCTCCAGGTCTTCGAAGCATCCTTTTCCAATGAAGCTAGTAGTTCAGTATTTAAATATTTGGCAACCTGTCAAAACGTAGCTGATACAGCCAAAGGACAAACTGAATATGATGTCCGATTCATTTCCTATCTCTAGGATTCGACTGCAGTAACACTTGGTTAAAAACATGCTGTTACTGTATTTTCTTTTTCTTTTTTTCTTTAGTCTAAAAAAACTACTGCTCATGAACCTGATCTCCTGAACAATGATTGTCCAATCGTACTCTATTTAGAAAATTTAACAATGACGGCTGGCCTGTCAAGCTTTGGATTTCTTCATATGTTGAAATGGGGCTAAGTAAAAGTGATTCAAGAACTTAAAGGGTGGTCCAGGTAAATTTTCCCCTCTTAGAAAAAACCAGAGAAGGTAAAAGTCTAAGCAATTGATTTAACAGTGTTGTACATTTTTGAGTTGAGCAAAACCATGCAGACTCCTACCTACAGGTATAGTCTTGTTGTAGAAAACGCTTAATTGTAAGGGTGATGTGGACACTTTTTCTACGATTTAGATTCAGATTTAAGATTCTCCAGAAAAACGTTCTACCAGTGATAGTTACATTCATCCAACACATTATTTATCCTAAAAGCCTAACATTTTAACATACTGTCATATTTGAAATAAGAACAATTAAGAATAAATCTATCCTCTGTTATGCTTCACCACAAAAAAGCTAAGCACCCAATCTGTTAAGTCATTCTTATAATAAGTGTATAGCCATTGTATTTGGGAGCATTTTAAAGGCAGACAGCATATTCAACCAATTTGTGGAGCCAACATTACTTTAATTAGACGGGTAGCTGCAGCTAAAATCATTTTGTCAACAGCAGAATTGATACCCGCCTGCTAGGAATGAGAAGCCTTCCATTACCTACCTCCATCTGAAATCAATCACATATTGAAAAACCTGCTTTTGAGTGGTGAATATGTCACAGACATTGTAAACTGCAGATGTGCTGTTTGCTAAAATTGAAAGCTTCCCAGGTGTTGCAACAGTAACTAAGGGGTATGTAGCTTAGCAACCAGTCAAATCATGTATGTCCTGGATATCTAATGCACTGCTCTACCCTTCAGGACACTGCTTGAGACTGAACACCAATTGATGTATGTGTCGTGTCCTTTTCATCCGTGCGTGTAGTGTGCCTTCCTCAGACAGCTGTACCATCCAAAAAGAGGAGCTAAATACAACTGTCATAATAGGTTCACTCTGGTGGGTAGAACTAAAGCCAGGCCTTGTCCATGATGTCAAAGGAATTCTTAATCCAGAACAGAGACTCGAAATATTAAATCTAAAGAGCCAGTGGCTAATATCCGACGTCTTTTCAGCTTCAAGGTCGTAAAGGCATTCAAGGCAACGGACACAGTGTCTTCTGAGGGCTCGGGGTTGTTGGTCTGCCGTGGAAGATATTTCTGACAAAGAAACAATTAAAGCCGCATACATTAACTTCTGAAAAGTAGAGGGCAAAATCTAGGGGATACGTGGTCTGCAAAATGATATCGTCGCTGAATCACTGGTGGTTTTTGGACATGACAAGTAAAACGGTCTAGTTCCCAGAAGCAGGTTTAGTGTTATGAATTCTCTTTGAGTGAAATTCACTTTTGGGTAGAAAGCAGCTGTGTGCAGAGAGTTCTGCTACAATGTCAATTTGTCAGCAAAGAGAGGGACTGGGGCTGAAGTAAAGCTCATCATTAATCCAGCATAGGTCATGAGAAATTCATTCATTTGTCGATACACAAACCACTTTGATTCAGTGGATTTAGAGAAGTGAGCCAACCAATAAAAGCCGGCAAGAGGAAAGAATATCCTATTTCGAAAACAGAGGTAGAAAATATCAAAAGGACAACATTTTAAGAATAGCAGGAAAGTTCTCCAATATGGATGTTTTTAATAATTATGATCAAAGTGTGTTCGTTACTTCTTTTTTTAAGTAAGGTACGTTTATTTATATAGCACATTTTCAGACACAGAAGCAATTCAAAGTGCTTTACGTCATCATTAACACTTAACAATAAGACAACAGAAAGGAACACATTAAATAAACATAATGGAATAACAGATTCATGCATAAAAGAGATACAGAATAGTTTAAAAACCACATTGTAAATACGGTAGGTGCTAAAACAAGTTCAAAGACTTCTGGGTAAGCAGATTAAAAAAGTAGTGTTTTTAGCCACAATTTAAAGAAGGGTGGTTTTCAGTCAGAAATCATGAGATTCAAGAAGTTCAGATGTTCAGAAATCTGTGAAATTCAAATAATCAGTTGTCTCATTCAAGCATTGTAAAAAAAACGATTCGTTATGCCTCCTCAGCCTGACAGAAAATCATACATATTTTTTCTAAAGAAAGTTTAGACTGCCCATAAATCCATTTCCAATAGAACATTAGGGGGAAAAGGAACATCCTGTGGCCTGGGTTCCAACTGCATCAACAAATTAGCCTGAATATTAAAACAAATTCATGTATGGAATAATCTCAGTCGAGGACAGCAGGAGATCCTTGGGAGCATCAGCCAGGCGTACGTCAGGATGATTTGATAACTCAAGGCCAGCGTGATCACCGGGGGATACACGTGTATTTGCATCTTAAATATCTTTGCAATATTTAAAATAAAGTGGTGTAATCCAGAGGAAAAGACAAAGTGTAAACATGTTATTCGATAAAATTATCAACAACACATGAACTGCTACTGCTGTGGAGATAAATCAAAGAAAGACTCAGTCATCTGCTCTTTAACAATATGATAATGTAATCAACAGTCTGCCACTTGTTGTAATTCACTCCATAACGACCCGACAGACACCATCAAGAAAGAGGTCAACAATGTATTGTCAGTGCTTTCAAAAGAGGTTTGTCCTTTGAATAAAACATCAAATCCGTCAAGCCTCTTATCACCGGCCTAAAATACATACATTTCTTCAAATGTCGTCTTTTTAATATTTCACTGTCAGTGGGGAAGTAGAATCCTGTGTGCAGGCAGGGTACGCAGTCTTGATGCAAATCTCTTATTTAGTTATGCCAGTCATAAATAGGCAAACATCAGTTTCTGCACCTTATTTAAAGCTCTATAGACCTTATGCTCCACATCTTTACGGATCATGTAATTATATAAACATGTTTTAAATCACTGAGTGACCACAACAACAGAAACACCTGTAGGCCAAATGCATTGTATTTACCTAGCCCTGGGTAAATGCTGCCATAGTGTTATACTTTATCATAGTTTGCATAGTTTTTGTCATCATTCTTATCAGTTTTTCAAATTTCACTCTCTGTTAGAGGGTTTTAAGTCCAAAATAATCATAAATAAAAGCACGCAATGTGAAAGAAGCGGCAATAACGGTTTTTAGATGTCATGAAAAATGCATTTTGCAGATAACTGATGTCCTGCTTTGGTTTTATTCGCTCCTCCAGCCTTCCAATAAAAGCTGTTAGATTTGGAAGAGGCCGTGTTATTGTGTTGGTAAATCAATACCAATGCATTATTAAAAGTGAATTTGCATATCGGATTTGAGCAAATGTTTAGCGAGTAGTAAACAGAAGTGTTTATGAGTCTTTGATTTGTGGAACCCGGAACTTTTAGATAACTGATGTTTTCCCCCAGAAGCATTTATGAGTGATGACACACCATGGAAACATGTTTTGCTTGGACAACACAAAGGTTCCTTTTTTGTGCAGTGACAGTTTATAACTAAGGTATTTCATGAACCGTAATTTCATGCTCTTCAGAAGCTTTGTTTGTGTCCAAAAACATCACCAGGTTCACCTTTTGAAAAGGCAAGACTCAAATTATTTCTGTTTTTCTTTTGAATATTTGTCGCTGGAATGTTGTCATTTTCTTTAGCGCACAATTATTCGAGCAGCCACATAAGAATGTGATTGGCTTGTTTTTCAATTTTAGTTATAAAAGAAAACTATATTTTACTTCCTACAAAAGATTGGACTAGTGCCGCAAGCCATAATAATCTAAAATGGTCTATTCAAAGGGAGCAATACCCACCATTGTCCCACTTTCTCATTGGACTGAAGCTGTAAAACTCCATGGCATCAGAAGCTGTCTGTTCTGT